GAACATAAAGAGAAACCCGTCCTAAAAACAAAAAATAAAAAAAGAAGTCTGAGTTCTTCAGGAACTGGAATAAAAAGGGAGATGAGGGACACTATGGTGGAGCAAGAGACTGAGTTGGAGAGACAGGACAGAAAAAAGAAAGAAATTTTAGGGTGGAAAGAGGAAAAAAGAGAAAAGAGAGAGGGAAAGAAAAAGAATTTGAAGGTCCTCTTTCAGGCTATCTCTGATCTCATATTATACCACATGCACAGTCATATGCGGAACCCAATCCCCTGGTTATAGCTAGCCAATGGCTGTTCCTCACGACTGAGACTGAACACAATCTACAAAGCCTAACTTTAGTTTCCTTACCCTCAGGGTTGAACTCCACTCCGTTCTATTACAGGTTTCCCCTGCCCTTTCTTTAAAGATGATCAAAGTTCGGAGCTCAGAAAACTACCCTTCATGGGAACCTATGCCTCTGCAGAGTTGGTCTAAGGACTGGCCCGATCAGGAGTTTTGAGAACGGGGGGGGGCGTCGTGTGGGTGTTTCAAGGGCGCCCGCGCGGCTACCTTCCTTCCTGGGTCTGTTGTCGCGCAGGCCGGGAGCTCCCGCACAGGCCGGGATATAAATATTTCTTAAATGTTCTCCTTAAAAAGTATAGGGAATTTGACAAGTGAGGTATAAAAAGGACAATTACTTATGTAATTTTCTGACTTTTCCCCTGAATAATAAATCTTATAGGAATTAGAAACTGAAATAAAATTGAATTTTTATCCAAAATATATGAATCTATTCAGATAATCAAAATACTCTGCATCACCATTGTATATCATCCAGTCCAGTGAAATACCACAGTTTATACACAGCTGTATGTATCTAAGGTTGAATAAAATTGCTGGAAATCTTTCTCACTGATGTACCTATTCTAGCAAAAGTAGTTGGCCTAATGTGTAAACTACACATGTGAAATACCTAAAGAGCACTTTTCAATAATACCTACCCAGAATACATCATATAATTGTTATCTATTATTAGCATTGCCATTTATATACTGAATCTTTAAGTCCTATTACTTATTTTTGTGTTAATCATATAGGTAACTTTAGATGTACTTTAACTAGAATTTTTTTTTAAATCCTGACTTTCAAATTTTACCTTCTTTACTGTATACCTTTTGGCCTTTACTGGTAAGGCTTAGGTATAAGAGGAATTTTCTAAAACCAACATTGAATATCACGTACTTTAATTCAAGAGATTCTCCATTTTGTATTCGGGTGTCATCCTATTGCTTTGAAATGACTATTAATAAAAAGTTTAGTTTTGCATTTTTAAAAGAAAACTGGAATACCAACATAACTGTTCTTTAATATAAGTACTTTCTATTGGGTTTCTCTGCAAAAGGTTTACTTAGTTTTCTAATTGCTTATGAATTCTCTAATTTGATGCATATATATTTGATTTTCCTAATACCTGCTTCACACATTTCAATTTTCACATTTCTGCCCTTTATATATGTTTTCACTTGATCAGATATAAAGTTGCAAAGGTGCAATTATATTGTATGTTTTATCAAAATAGGCCTAGTTTAAGGTTCTAAAAAAGCACGTTGGGCTGTGGTTCAGTGGTAGAGTGCTTGCCTAGCGTATGTGATAGACCTCCTGGGTTTGGCCCCTGGTACTGCAAGAGATATGAAAATTAAAAAACAGTGTTGTGGCTTTTTATTTTTATTATCAGTGAAATATAAAATTTACTGTTTTATTTTTGAAATCCAGTGTTGGAATTACAGTGATTAATGATGGGAGCTTTTCATTCAGAAGACCTTACTTAGTATACTCTTTCTGCTACTTACTACCTTGGTGATGAGAGCAAGTTGCTTCAACTTTTAAAGTGTTAGATTATTCCTCTCCAACCTGGAGAAAATGGTACCCATTTCATAGGAATATTTGAGATCAGGATAAGGATGATGATTGAGATAGTATATGTAAAAACTTTTCATAGTGCCCAGGTTACAATAGGTACTCTGTATATGGGAGATAATGATTATTTATATTAATATTAGTCTGTATTAAATGCAAGGAGGTAATAACTAATTAATAGCTACTCAGCTGTTTCTTTAATTTTTTGTTAAAACTTCTTATTTATTTATTTTGTACCGGGGATCAAACTCTGGACCTTGCGCTTGGAAGGCAGGTGGCTGAACCACTAAGCTAAATCCCCGGGCCTACTCAGTTGTTTTGTACAGATAAAAAAAAGGCAAGGAGTGAACAAGTGGAAATTGTTTACATTCTATTTTTAGCTTCAAACAAAAAAAACTTACATACTTTAGCTTCATGTTACTTCAGCCTATATGATTTGTCTTATGCCATATGCTACAAAGACTAAAATAAATAAGACACTCGATTTGACTAATTTGTAGCAATTAATATATCTATTGAACAAAAGCAACCCACTCCACTAGAAAGTAAACATACATCTTAGCATCTATATGATGTTCTACAAACTACAATAATAAGTATCAATAGTGTCAGCCCTTTATCACACACCCTCTGCATGCAAGCACCATTCTAAGACTTTTATAAACTTTGTTTAGTCTTCTAATTAACAGTGCTACAAGTTGCATATTGTCAGTGTCGTTTTCCAGGTCCCCAAACTGAGGCTCAAAAGTTAAAGAACTTGCTCAAGTTCATCTGGATTAATTATTCATCATCACTTGACCATCTGCTACAAAAGTGCGAAACAAATCAAGTTGCTTTTAAGAAAAGAACCCACTACTGGTACATTCCTTCACTTCCCCATGCTAGCTGGATGAGGACTACCTACATCCACATTTCTGCTCTGCCAGTTGTTAGCTGTATGACCTTGAGCAAGTTATTTCATTTCTGTCACCCAATTTTTTTAATTGAGTTTATTGGTACATTCTAGGTAGACAGTACAGTTACATTCATTACTGGGATCTTGTACCTTTACATGACAGGTCTTGGTTCTCATTTCCCCTTGTCTCCACCCTCCCTTCACCCCCTCCTCCCCTCCCCACCTACAAACACTTTAATTCCATTTTTACATTTTCTCACATTTTTGTCACCCAATTTTTGAAGATAATAATAATAATACACACCTCAAAGGGCAGTAGCAATATTTAAATTCATCTGTTTTTAATACTCTTAGCACAATCTCCAGTGTATGATAAAACTCCACATAAGTGTTCAACGTATACATAATAACAAACAAATATGCACATACACAAACACGTTAAGCCATTGAATATATTCTTTGAGACATCCTATGTTTTCCTCTTTATTCCCTTTACAAAATGTGTATATCATAAAACAATTCTGTTTTCATAACAATCCTTTTTTTGAAGCAAAATATTTATTAGTGTATTTTAGATATACATAATGTTAAAATTCATCATAGTGAATTTGTACCTGTATGTGGTGTATCTTGCTTCTTCTGTTTTTTGATAGAAAATTAAATAAATACTATAAAATCCAAGTTAGAGTATATGACAAAATAAAATTCAGTACTTAGATTAATAAGTTTAATATACAGACAAAGTTGTCTGTCTTGTTTTTTCCCTAAATGAACCTGTGAAAACTATTTTCCTGATTGCTCCTTTTCTTGTCTAAATCTTATCTATGAGAATCAATTCCTTCCAGTTCTTTCTAAGGCACAAAAATGATTGTAATATAACTTTTAGTGACTATGGTAGACTTAGCTCATATATAAAGACATAAGTTAATACAGCCTAAAACTTCATATTTATGATCTGTATTAATCAGAAAGCAACCTCCTAAAGAAAGAAAAATATATAACTTTGACAAGTTGTCATGTTTTTTACTGCAATGAATACTTCTTTTAAAAAGTATTTGTTAATGTAGGCATTCTTGGTTCATATCTTTCACTAGAAAGAATGATGACACAATTAATTACATTAAGGAAGATTCTGTATTAACTTGTCTGGCTTTACTGTGGAAACCATCTGTCTGTCTGTCTATCTATCTATCTATCTATCTATCTATCTATCTATCATTTATCTATTCATTTTGTAGTACTGGGGATTGAACCCAGAGCCTTTGCGCTGAGCTACATCCCCAGCCCTTTTTAAATTTTTGCAACAGGTTTTCACTAAGTTGCTAAATTGGGTTTCACTGAGTTGCTAAATTGTCCAAGCTGGGCAAGGCTTGTGATTTTCCTGACTTAGTCTCACAGTGTACTGAGATCATTGGCATAAGCCACCTGACCTGGCAAAACCATTTTTTGAAAAATAATGTTCTTATTCATGACCTCGGTACTTAGTGTTTTGTCTTCTTACAAAAGTGATGCATATTTATGTATAACAATTCATAAAGTTATTTAAAACAAAAATAAGTAGCCATTATTCTTTTGTTTAAGAGAATGTGCTAGAATTATAAAAGCCTACAGTTTTTAATAAATAATGTTCAACTCACTTCTACTGCTAGGTATTTTTTTCTGATAGTGTGAGAACTGGTTTATTTATGTCCAGCAGATAAATATAACTATCAGGATGCATTTTTAAGTATGATAAGTTTTATTGAGTTGAGATGCTGTGTGTTAATTGTTCAACAGAACTTGGCTCTTGTTTATCTTTACATGGTAAGTGGGAGTTGGGTAAACAGCATAAGTTGACCACAATTCTAAGAGAGGGAAATACTTGGGTAAATTTATAAGCAGTAATTACCAGCTTAAAACTTAAAAGTTACTAGGTCAAAGATACATAATGCTTAAGGATTCTTATTCTCAAAATTCATTCATTTTAGAGTATATTTACAGTTTTGTGTCTACATGATATATTTTCCAACTTATGAATTTAAATCCCATTACTATAAAATTCCCTTCAATGCTTCATTTTTTATAAGAATGACCCAATGCTTTTTGTAGTCAAAGGTGAGTTTTAGCATAATTTATGCTCTATAGACATTTAATATCAACATATTTAGCATTCTATTCTCATCCCAAGTAACAACATATAACCGTTTTCCCCCTGTATATTCTCCAGGTTCACAGTGGAACAGGAAATTGATTTAAAAGACATTTTGAAAGCTCTTGGAATAACTGAAATATTCATCAAAGATGCAAATTTGACCACCTTGTCTGGTAAGAAATAAATATCAATTTTAAATGTTATTTTGTAAAAGTGTTTAAAAATGATGTTAAATCCTCTACTATAGAATTCTGGGGTAAAATATGGTTTTGCTTGCAAATAAATCTAAGAAGTATTTTTAACCTCTACAAACAAACTATAAATACTTAGTATTAAGTTTATATTATATTATCCATGTCTTATCTTTGATAATAAATTGTATTCTTCAGAACACTTGGCTTATACATTTTGGAATTTCCCATCTTATCTGACACAATGCCATGTAGAGTAGATAATCAATAAATGTGTTGACTGAAAAATCTCAATATGTCCCACTGTAATGAATCATCAGAAGGGAAAAGGAAGAGAAGATAAATGAATGCCTCTTGCTGTGAGAACTAGACAAAGATTCCTTTTAAAAGCATAGAGACTAAATTGAGATTATTTAAATCTTTCCCTGCGTCTTCAATAGAAAATGATGGTTTAGAAGTATTACCTTCAAATTATACTGGTACATTAAGATATTGGGTAATTAATCCTAAATATCCCAACGGGAAAAATCCACTTGAATTATTTGATTCAGATATCCCAACTTGTACAGACTTAAAATCATAAAATGTTAGTTATATTAAAGCATTTAGAACATTTAAAATACTTTTGAATCTATTTTTTAAGTGACTAACCAAGGTATTTACCATTAATAAAAGGCAACAGTTGGGCATAGTGACACATATCTATAGTCTCAACTGAATCCAGAGGATTGTTTGCATTTGGGACCAGCTTGGGTACCTTAGCTTAAAAAGAGCTTGTGTCAAAAAAGGAACATCTACTGAGGCATGATGGCATATGCCTATAAATCCCAGCTACCTGGGAGGCTGAGGCTGGAGAATGTCAAGTTCAAAGCCAGCCTGGCCAATTTAGCAAAACTCTGTCTCAAAATAAAAGAAAAAAAAGTTTAAAAGGGCTGGGAATGCACCTTAGTACTTCCTGGGTTCATTGCCCAATGCCATCAAAGGCAAAACAGAAAGAAAGAAAGAAAGAAAGAAAGAAAGAAAGAAAGAAAGAAAGAAAGAAAGAAAGAAAGAAAGAAAGAAAGAAAGAGAAAGAAAGAAAGACAGATGAAGGAAGGAAAAGGGAAGGAAAGGGAGGAAAGAGAGAGAGGAAGGAAAAAAGACAACAGTGGACTATATCATTTTCTACTTTCTGATAAGATAAAGGTAGGTACACTGAGAAAAAAAGAAACTCAACTTGTAAAGTTCTCTTTACACGCGTTTATTGAACCAAATTCTCTAACTAGAAAGCCCTGAGGTGATAAAAGTCCAGTGAGTTACAGGCAAGAATTTAGATTTCTTCTCCCGCATCAGCAGCCTACAAAAAATCAAACCTATACAGCTTTGAAATAGAGCCGTTAAACTTGGATTAAATTCAAGAAAATGAATGCCCTTACTTCTGAGATTGTTTATACGTGTGCACTTGTGACTGCCAACATGAGGGAGAGAATGAGGACGTGGAGACGATGGGGGGTGGGGAGAGGGAGAGAATGAGCTCCTTAGCTATGAGTTGATATTGATGTATTTGGTACCACAAATTCTACTGCTGGTTCAGATAGCTTATAGCCCTAAGCTCTAATAGAGGTTTTCTAAATGTCTTCTGTATAAATGTTCCTGTCCACGCAAAAGAAATGAGTTTTCCCTGAGCAAATGTTTTTATGGCCTATGCCTGTGTTCCGAGGGTTTTAAATTCCTCACTGGGCTTGACAAGAAGGTAAGACTGTTGGTGATTCCAAAGTACGTATGGAATCTTCATCCCTGAGTCAGAAATATATTCAGAGTTGAAGCATAGTATAATTTTAAAGTGCAAAAGCTCTCTTCCTTAGGAATTTGAGACAATCTGTCTTACCAGACTGGCCAAATTCCAACTGGATAATTATATTCTGCCTTCTTAATATGGGTCTCTTTTCAGTTTGATTAGTGATTTCTCATTGTCTCACCCAAACACCCAGGTATTTATTTTACACAAATACAATATCTACTGCCTCTCAGTCCTGAGCGAGCAGCACTACAGTGGCAAATCAATTATTGTGGTCAGTGTAGCTTATAATTTTTGACATATTTGGAAGGTTTATAGGATAATATTTAATTGCTTTTACTATGTACAGAGACAATAGACCACAAATACATATTATGAATGTAGATGGTTTGGATATTTGAAATAACACTAGGATCTTCCAGCGAATTCATGTGTTCTATATACAACATATCTGTTCCTTTGATCAAACCTCCACAAGAACTGAGTCCGTCTCAGTGTCCTGTTCACAGTTGCATTCCTGATACTGGGCATGGGCTGGTGCATGGTTGGCATACAGTAAGTTTTTGCAGAGGAAAAAATGGGCAGGGGGAAGAAGAAATAGGTTTCTCTGGGCCCCTTATATGTTATACATTTCTTAGAATATAATATATATATATATATATGTTATATTTCTTGGAATATTTATCTCCTTAAAGTATCAGACTAGTGCTACCAAATCCAATATTTGGCATTGTTTAATACCATCTAGTTCATGTGTTCAGAGACATTTGACAAAATTCTAAACTAAACCTTTCAAAGTTCAGTGGCCATTCTCTGGTTCTTAAACTGTTAGTTTTGCTGGAATGCTGGTAGCTCTAGCATGCCGTTGACACCCCTCCCCCGTCTATGTTCATTAACTTATGAACCACTCATTCAAAAAACACTATCGTACCTGTAAAATTTGCCTCTCTGCTTCCTCTAAATTCTATACCATTTATCTCTGCATCATTTATTGAGATATCAGATTTCTGCCTTACCTGGTTAGTATGTTTTTGCATTACTATTTTTATTTTGCATCTCCAAATAATACAAAAAATTTTGTATCAATATGTCAATGATTCTTAGTTACCATTGCAAATACCCAGTAAAGATAATTTGCATTTATTTAGTTAATACTTTGAACTTTAATAGGAATCCCAACGTGTTTAGGATGTATGAATTCCATGGTGTTTATGACATAGCATCTGTTGTTTTCTGTGCTACAACTATTCCTTTCATTAAACAACTGCTAATAAAGAAGGTAATGTAAGAAACGTACTGCATCAGAATCATAAGGAGATGATTATGATATCATGCCTGATCTAGAGGAAATGCAGAATTTAACTGCTACGTTTGATAAAAGGAGGACTGACAGAAATGTTTTATTAGAATAGTGATTCCCAACAAGGACAATTCCCCCTCCTGCTGGAATATTTGGCAAGAGCTGGAGTCCTTTTGGTTGTCACACTGGGGAATGCTTTTGGATCCAGTAAGCAGCGTACAGAGATGCTTCTAAACATCTGACAATTCACAGGTCAGGTCCTGAATGAAGTACCGCACAGCTGAGAATTTCAGCAGTGAAGAGGTTGAGAAACTCTTTATTAGCATTAAGGAATTGGAGAAGTACAAATTAAAAGGCAAATGGGAGCATCTGGATCAAAAGACTTAGGAGAATATATGTTTGTATATATTTACCTTGCATCTGTATTACTCTTTTTACTTAAAACACTTAAAAGTTACAAATTTTTTCAAAATTAAGCAATAGATTTAACCAGTAAATTTGAAAGCACCCAAAGGCTAAGTTAGCATTAATGTGACTCTACTATTCTTAGATTATGTAATGAAAATGTTTTTTTCTTCAAAAATCACAAGTGTGATTTAGCAATGGGAAAAACAGCAACCTTGCTTGATTTTCACTCGTTTCTAGAAAACCTGAGGGACTTGAGATCCTTTACTAAGACCACAAGTCCATTTCTTCATTTTTTTATCCTATTACATGAACTCTTACATCAGATTCTTATTATTGCTGCCCTAAACTATTTTAGTAGTCTTCTAGGTGGTTTCTAATCTCACTCCAATCTAATCTGTTTGTCTACCACTGCCAAGATTAATCACCTTAAAAACTGCTCTCAGATCATCCCGCTTCTTAAGCAAAGCCCGCCTTTGGTCTGCTGTGCCTCACCCTCTGCCCAGCCAGCTTCAGAGACCTCAGCTCCCTCCAGCCGCTGCGCTTTCTGATCCCTCACATGGAGCTTGTTCTGTAGCCACAGCGAACACTTGCTCTGTGCCGCTTCCCACCTTTAAAAAAATCTCTCCCACTTGAAATACTTCTTAAGCTGATCCACAGCTCAGACATCCCCAACTTCATCAAGTTTAAATGCCTCATATTTCGTGCCTGTGTTTGTGGCACGTATTTTGTCATGTTGTTTTATGTGTCTAATCTCTCCTGATAGAATTTAAACCTCCCTAGCACCAATTCCTGTAAATATTTCCTCAATACCCAGCACTATGCTTCCTTCTTAATACTCACTGAATGGAGCAATAACTAAGATGACACCCTCTATATTTATTAGGTTCATTTCTTCATTTCAATTTGATTATCCATTGCTTTTGATGCTGAATTCCATTTACATAAAACAAAGTAAAGACTCATACAATAAACATGGAATATAGACAGTGCTGAAAATCATTTTCTTCTCAGACTCTATTTAAAATGCGCATGTAGTTGTAGCAAGCATCCTGTTATAAAGCAGCTCTATTTTTGTAACGGAAATGAATGACTGTCAGCATTTGGATTAATAGGTAATCCTCTTGGAAGCTGTAAGGGGAAAGAGAGAGTACTAAATCCTTCAGCATGAAGTATGAGCTTTAATAAAGGGGCCAATAAAATAAAGGAATTAAGAAGACACAGGGAAAGCTATATTCAGGTCAGACTCAAGTGCTGTAGATCTATGCTGGACCAAGTCCTACATCCTGCCCTTGTTTGTTCTCTTTCTCCTTGCACCTGTAAGCCAGAGGACTCCCTTCTTTTCCATTGCTATAATTCCACTTCTGCTCCTACTCTCTTGCCTGGACTATTGTAACAACCAACAAACCTGATCTTCCTGCCCTCTAGTTATTTGCTCATCCAATTTACCCTTGACAGTTGCTGCCACAGTCAAAGCACTCATGTGCTCTTATCCCTGGA